AGTGGCAACTCACAGAGCTGTACGTCTTCTCACGACCGAGATGACCGCTAAGTGGGGTCTAGTGGGCCTCATAGAGGATACAATATCTCAAATTCTCATCGTGAGTAATCACAATTCGTGGCGTATCCGTTGAATCGGTGCTATAATACAGCAATCTGTCACTCATCGGAAATCGGTGTAACCGTGCGCGCAAACGCGCCGACAGTTTCTTGTCCGAGTTTCTAAAATCCTTTCCCGAGAGCCTGTAGCAGCACTACACACATACCATCACCCGCGTATGTGGCGTGGATCAAATTTGTCACTGACGACGTCACCGTCGTGGCATGAGCAAGCGCATAGTTCGGTCGGCGTAACAACGCATCAACCAAAGCTGCATGGTACTCTTCACCTCAATTTTTTCTGCAAAGAAGGATAGCTACCTTGCCATCCTCTGCGATAGGTTAGGCGACTGAGTCGCAGTGCGTAAGGATGCATGATTTGTGTAGATCACAAACGGCTTTGAGCCAAGTAGGTGCACTTTAAACTTGACAACTGCATACTTCATCGCAAGTAATTACTTGTCGTGGACTGAGTTGTTCCTTTCCGCAGCCTTGAATGGCGAGATTCGAACGCGATCACCCGATAAGGCCCCTCGGCGTCTGCTTGCATCAGTGCACAGTAGATGACAAAGTCCGAAGCATCACAGACGACACTAAACGAACGATTGGGTACTGGCAACGTCAGTATTGATGTATGAAAGAGGCTTCTTTGACCCTGTCAAAAGTCTCCCAATGCTCGGTGAAATCGGCCACCCGCCGAACGAAAGCCGTATCCCACACGAGGGTCTAGGACCGAACGTAGATATGTGCGCATGAGAGCCGCCCTGTGGTCAGTCTCTGTGCCTCGTCGAGGCAATTGGCAATGATACCACTTCCCCCGGAAGTCGAGATTTCGAGAAACAGACACGGTGTCCGCAAGGTTTGAGCTGGGCTCATGTCGCGCCTCTTCTTCCCATAAGTATTCGACTCGTCGTCGACTTTTTTTCGAAATTTCTACGATAATATCCTTGTGGGACCCGGTTGCCGAGGGCTTGGGATGTGCTTCCCGTATAGCCGTAGATGTACTGTCCGAAGTCGCACCGCGTACAGGAGACGAAGACAGGCTTTGCACGCGGGCGCCCTCGGAACCAGCGAGGTTAGGTGTTTTTCGTGTCGTAGGCACAAGGCTTATTGAGCAGAGAATGCTTTAAGGCAGCCCTAGGGACGCAAAGGTGTCTTAGACACGCGAGCCTCGTACGAGGCGACAGTCAAATGTGAATTTTGGGTATTCACAATTTTGATGTGGGAGAGTGTAACGGGGTCACACGTACCCTGGTATGAAAGGGTGGGTCACATAAGATGGTGTGACCGTACGAAGTTGTGGATTACACCAGTCGGTGTAATTACACAATGGTGTGGCTACACCGTAACAGGAAGCCACTACGTGGCAGGACTGCCAGTGGCCATGCATATTTATTACGATTTACAATTTAATCAGGAAAACCTAAGGTGTTAGATATAGGCGGCTCTGCCCCAATTTAAAAAAATAATACAGTTTCAATTTTGAACGTATTTGCCCTGGTCAAATATTCAAGTACTCTTGGAGGTAGCGTATTGCGATACACTCGTACTGGTTCTAGTATAGAACATAAGATCGGTGACCTTAGTAAGCTTCCTCTAAGCGGCAGCCCCGCTGCAGCATGTCTCCACTGCGCGATCAAAACACCCAACAGACCATCTGACTGCGAATGTCTAGCGGCTGGTATGTTTAATGTTGTATCCAGCACTATATAAATGTTTTCCGACACAATGCTGCAAGCGCCGCCGTTCAACCGTGGCTCAAATAACCACCACGGCTGAGTACGCGGTTGCTTGTGAGGCCATAATGGAGCCGAAAGAGCAGTGAAACATAAACCTAAAGGTCCTGCATAAAACTCATAACGACCCGATCATTAATATCTACAAGAGAGCTGCACACATGATGGCGACAACTCGAGATGGACACGCCAATAGATCTGCGCTGGCAATTCGTTCGCAACCAAGTACAAAGAGCATTGATTGTGCTGATCGAGGTACAGAGCGAGAACAACGCAGACGCCACCCTTACCAAGCTGCTTGACAAGGATCACCTTGAGAATTTGCGTGGCTTGATAGGATTTGTAGGGAAGGCTTGATGGCCGAAATTCGACGCTTCTAATTATATCGACAGGACCCGGATGTTATTGGAATTACATTTTACGGTGTGAAGGGTCGCCTTACAGGCCCGCTACCCTTTACATGTATGGTCGAGGAGGCTAGAGTCTGACAACAATTGGAAGCCCTCCGATCCATTTCAGTTGCTAAGTTGCATCCACTTCAAATAGGAACCTTACCAATTCACCTCTTCGTGATAGGGTACATTCGTCTGTCCTGGATTTTGGGGCCAAGTCTGTCCAGTACAAATCGCTTTCTGGCTGCTTTCTGCAGGCTCATTGATCCCTTGCAGTGTTCTTTTGTTTCTTACACCGCTTTTACTTCCATAATCAATCTCTCCTTACCAACTAAAAAGGTCTAATTTTAGAATGGTACAATATATGTGTAGATATATTTTTTCTAAGAAAGTTGCTCTGCTGCATATTATGTTCAATACCGTTTCTCATCATCCTGACACCAGAGGTATTTCTGGACTTTACTTAGTCCGTCCGTCTGCATTGAACTACATAACGTCGCTCCGACTTGTGCTTAGGGGGGATAAATACGTCAGATGGGCATGCTCAATGCTGCGATCGCAACGCGGCTATGTTCGACCAAATGGTGGAAGGGAACAAGCAAATGCATCAGACGAACTTGTCAGGAAGCAAAAAATAGGTGAATTGGTTCATTGCCGGTACATCCGGCAGCCATGAGTCACTCAAACCTCCACCATCAGCTGTGCCTGAGGCTTTTAATGGCTCCGGCTACATGAAATATAGACTCAGTATAGTATTTCCACTTCTTCGTTCTTCCCCATTGCTCGATACGATGCCCAACTGTAAAAAGGTGCCAGGCACCACTCCCGGCCGGATATTGGCGATGTCTGTCATCGAGGAAGAGCCCGCACACATGCGTGAATCGCGCCTAGGAGAACTAGAAAAGCTTCCAGACCAGGAATCGAAAAAATTTTCGCCTTCGCCACGGGTAGGAACAGGTCCAGATTCCTCGGTATATAGATCAGAGACGGCCGTTAGGTCTTCTGGAATAGCTTTGAGCTCTCCATCGACAGAAGCCTCATCCAGTGAGGACGTTTATCCCACCCCAAAAAACTTGCGAGCAGTCAAGGGACCACGTCGTACCTCGCGCCTAGACTTTAGTCAAAATTCCACAGCAGAGCCCCAAAGCAGACATCATTCTTCTCCCACCAGACACGAACGTTCCCCTCGCCATAGAAAGCTTCCTATTCATGAAAAGCAATCAGATCCAGAGTACGTGCCTCGCATCAATTCGATCACGACATCTTCATCTGAGGAAGAAGATGTTTCCAAAAACCAGCCGCAAAGACTACCTCGCCGCCATGCAGGTCCGCATTCCCGGAACCGCACTAAATCATCTTCTATTCCTTCAAGAGAGTCCTCGGTTCCTCAGACACGTGTGCGCCGTCAGACACCCAGCCCACCGCTTAGCTCGCCAGATGAGGCCCCACGAATGAAGAAGCCGACTAGGCTGGATTCTATACACTCGCCTTCCCCGGAAGACGCATATGAATACCATCCGCGAGAAGCGGCTCGTCAAGCCCCGAGATTACAGCCCAATTTGCGTGTGAAAACCCGCTCAAAATCATCAACCATGCTGCCACCGTTCCGAGAACCATATGCTGAGCGTGAACTTGCGCATGTCGAAGTGTCTCGCATGAGCTCTGCTCACCAGGCCGAAGAGCACATGCACCGCCGAATGCCCCGTCAGGTTTCTCCAAGGATTTCTTGCAAGGATCATAGGTCCAAGTCGTCTCCGTCGCTGAGCACGTCACCGTTCATATCGGACATCGATATGAGCGAGGACCGACAGACTCGAGTATATGAGCACTCGAGTCCTTCATTGGTACATCGTTCAACAGCAATTTCTAAACCGAGAATGCAGACCCATATTAGCTCAGAACGTCGTCAAGCGGCTTCGTGTAGGGGAGTCAAAGTGCCTTTGAGCCCAACGGAAACAGGACCTTCTGACTTAAAGGATCAACACCATGGAACGCTACTTCCAAATCGAGATTCTAGGCGTACTCGATCGACGTCTCTTCGTCAAAAAAAATCGTTGCAATCTGATTTTATCGAAGACTCGATTCTTCGATCTGCTTCAGCCTCCAGTTTATCTTCGCAAGGATCTATGCCTTCACCTCACACGAGCGTACCACAAATCCCCTTACGCCTTCGCCATTACGAAGGCCGATTCTCTAATCGACGAAAGCAAACGCTTTTTTACTTCTCTCTGTTTCCGGCAGAAAAAATGCCAATGCGCGGAGTTGTTGTCAGTCTCCATGGCATTGGTGATCACTGCCGTCGAAATGTAAAATTATACGAGCGTCTATGCAGAGAAGGATTCGGAGTGATCACGTACGATTTGCTAAACCACGGTGTGAGTGACCTTGACCAGCACAAAATTCGTGCGCATATCAGCAATTTTAGCCATCTTGTGGACGACACAAACGACTTTATCACGTTTGCGAAACGGTTCATCTACAAAGATGCACTTCGGTATTGGCGAATGCAATTCGGCGATCACGGACAGGAAGACGAATTTGGTGTGTATTCGCAGCCTGAACTTCCTTTAATAATTGCTGGCACGTCCTTTGGCTCCCTCGTTGGTATTCACACCGTTTTGGCTGGTGAGCACAAGTTCGATGGTGCAGTGTGGGGCTCCCCAACGTTAGGTATCACCTGGAACCCATTACTTTGGGCGGAGTCGAAGCTTGCAAAGCCACTTGCAGCAATTTTACCAACGGCGAAAGTTGTGCCTGCAGTTCCTCTAGAACGGCTGTGCCGTGATCCCAAATTTTTGAGAAGGTTCAAGGCTGATCCGCTTACATCAATGGACATGATGACATCTCGCACAGGCCACGAGTCACTACAAGCAATGATTCAGCTGGAAGATGACAAGCGGGTGACTAACCCTAGCAGTGCTTTTTGCGCGGTTCCGACACTCTTCCTGGCTGGATCAGCCGATAGCATTTCCGACCATCAGGCAGCCATTAAATTTTTCGGCATGATGGGAAACTTTGACAAAGAATTTAAGCTATTTGATGGCCTATTCCACTTGGTTTACGAGGAGCCCGAAAAGGAAGATGTTTTTCGGTACCTAGCAAGGTGGTTGCACCGTCGGTTTCCTGTTGAAAGTTGCCAGTGAGAAATTAATGGATTTAGTGTTCAGTATATTGTAATCAAACCGTAAAAGGCATCGATCGACTGAAATTGATGTCGCTTGTCGTATATGTTTCAACAAGTTTCTGAACCATCTAACATTCCAAACTCTGATGTATTGATCAGCAGGCAATGAATGACAGTGCACGCACATGATATACAATGTTCTGTGCAATTCTAGTACCACCGCTGACAAAATTACATTGACCATTGCTGATGACGATGTTTAGAAATGCTTTTTTTTAATATATCCTCACATGTAGCATTTTAAAGTAAATGATTTTCTAAGGCTCGAATAAAGGTACTTGATTACCGAACGCATGCCATTTTAGAGCGATCAGCTTCGAGGAGTTGAGTTGTTGTAGTGTCGGTCTTAAGATTGTCGTGTCTCAAGTGGAAATCTCTTGTGCAGCCAGTTGATCATATACTTGAGGACATCCTCTTGCTCTGGCTCGTCGTAAATCATGTGGTACAGTCCCTCGAAAAGTTGAAATTCTTTGTCGAAACTTCCCATCCGAGAGAAAAACTTTAGCGAAGCTTGTTGGTCAGAAATTCGATCATTCGTCCCAGCGAGGAATAACATGGGTATTGAACAGAAAGGAGTGCCCTCATCGGAGACTCTTGCATCTTGTTGCAGTCGACTCATGGCACAAACTATTTCGTATCCAGTGCGGGGGGTGATCATTTCACTACAAGTGAGAGGGTCCTTTTGATACCTCACCAGAAAGTGAGGATTCCTGCTTCGCAGACTGTGCTGAACCGCAGGAATCATTTTTGCAGTCGGGAATGCTGCAAGCAACGCTTTAGCAAACTTCCACTGAGCCCACAGCACCGGAGTCCAAGTGACACCAATACTAGGCGATGCCCAGACAGCAGCGTGAAATTTTTGCTTTCCCGAAAGAATCGTGTGAAGACCAATGAGGGATCCAAGCGAATTGCCAGTGATTATTAGTGGCAGCTCCGGAAGTGACTCTCGCTTCTTCTCTTTTCCATGGGGATGGATTGGGTGGTGATGTTTGCGCCAGTATCGGAGCGCAACCTTGTAAATATTGGTTTTAGCAAACGTTATAAAATCGTTCGTGTCATCAATCAGTTCATTGAAATTGCTAATGTGCGCGCGAACCTTGTACTTGTCGTAGTCACTGGCTCCATGATTAAGCAAATCGTACGCAATAACACCAAAACCTTCTTCGCAGTAGCGTTCGTACAGTGCCGTATTCCGCCGACAATGGTCACCTAATCCATGCAAGTGCAAGATAATTCCCCGCATTGCTAGCTTTTCCGGGGGGAAGAGCGAAAAGTACAGAAGTGACTGACCCCGCCGATTTTGAAACTTTCCCTCATAATGACGTAGACGTGACGATAGCTTTATTTCCTTCTGCGTCGGCTTCGAGTCTGACAATGCTCGCGGGCGAATATTTTGATTACTGAGCTGATTCGTCAGCTCAAATCCAAGACCACCGTCTGATGAAGCTCGGGGTCGATAAACGGAAGCATTTTCCTCTGAAGGAAAAAGACGGTGGCTTCGATATTGGTTAGCATGCTTGAGTGAGGCACCACTTACGATTGTTGGTGAGTTTGACTTTGCCAGCTCTAACGGCGCTGTGGGATTCGAGTTTCGTCGCCGGGCCAGGTTTTTCACATCATTCGATGACGTTGGAGATGTCAAATTTTGCGATGTCGGGCTTGAGGCAGGTCGGGTTCGAGTGGCGTGAACCTTCCAATCTTTCGCTTCGCGTTGTGGTACAGAGCCAGGGGCATGCAGACCGTCATCAAAGCGCGGTACAGGTCGCGACCGAAGCGACTTGGCAGTATTTCCGTTTTTCATGGCTTCTTCATATGAAGTAGAGTCGTCGAAGCGTGGCGTCGGACGAGATCGCTCAGAATTAAAGCCCTTTGTCTTTATCTTTGCTGAAATAGGTTCAGTAGGCATGTGCTCGTCGTTCATGAGAGAGTCGTCAAATCGGAAAGGTGAGCGAGACCGCCCGGAGCTTGTTGACTGCGATGTTGTCCTGGATGCATTCGTCGCTGTGTTTGCATCATTAAAATAGGGGATGGAACGTGAACGGGCCGAGATTGATTGCATCTGTTTTGCCATTGCAGTCTTCAAACCCTTGACTCCGGCCAATGGTACATCAGCGAGTCGCTGGGCGGATCGCAATCGAGCCGATTGGGTCCGTACAATCCGCGGGGGCGCATGAGTAGGAGGAATAGGAGATGACGATTTGACTTCTTCTAACTTTTGCGATCGCTCTTGGCTGGATATGTCTGCTTGAGTAGTTTTTTGAGCTCCTGATAGCAAATCAGAGTTTACGCTTTTTAGGTGTGAGCTGGCGACTTGCTGTCGGTGTGGGCTTGAATCAGGACTAGAAGACGAAGTAGTTGGAGATGAGGAGCATGAATCTGACGGTTCGATTGCAACGGCTATTGCGCTCATTGCACTTGCGCGCTCTTCCTGGATGGCTGACATCACAAGCGCATTACGACTTTGGACGCGTCGTAACGGCAATCCAATCGGTCCTCTGTTGCCATTTTTCATCGTATTCTAAAATGGTGGTACATGTAGTTGATATACCTAGGGAGGAGGGCAACATGAAGAAGATTGTTCAGATCTGTAAAACACGACTGACGACCCTGAAGGGCCGACTTTAAGAAAGCCAGTCGAAATGGGATTTAATTCGAGATGGTGTATCGAGTCATTCTCCGACCTCAAGGCGAACATGCTTCTCAATCAACGGAAAATTCGATGTGCTCGATCATACGCCATGAAGCTCGGGCTAATTAAAAACCTCGTGACATTTCAGCTCCACGTTTATCTTGTTTAGATGATGTAGCGGAAGAAGCACACGAAACAAATCTTCAAATTGCATTCAGCAAATTTTTATAAAAGACACTATCTGTTAGGTATCAGTGCGCGTAGCCGCGGCTATTCCTCTATGCTATATCTTTGGTAAAGGCGAGTACACCATAAAATTATTGGTAAGCCACAGATAGAACACCGGTTTAAGCCACGCATCTAGCTAAAATACGAACTTGCTGCCGCTACTTAACTTGCGTATCAGGTTCCAATTATCGTGTGACAGATGTTACCTGACTGGATGTCCACCTTAGCGGTGCGTGTTGCTCTGTTGTGTCCTGGATTTGGATACCTCGCCAGCAGCGTACAATTGCTCGCAATAATTTTTTTCAGAAGGAAAATTGTAAAACTATAAGTAATGGTCAAGTATTAGACGACCGTAATCAGTACTCAGTACTTCGCCATGTAGTAAGCTTAACTCTAAAACCGACGTACAACAGTGGACGTCGCATACGTACCCCGTTACCCCCCACCAAAAAAGGAGGTCACACACATCTCGTATTATACTGAGACAGCGCACTTGGTGAATGCTCACCACGCCGAAATTTCTTTGTAATGAGACACAAACTACACTTTGTGTGCGAACACATAACACATTTGTGCGGGCGAAGAGACTCGTGGGACATGTGGGCTGTCAGCCTCTCTTTATGCAGTACAAATAGTTTTATCATCGAATATAGTAGATTATATGTAATATTAGTATGAGCACAAATTATCCTAAAATCGTGAGATAGAAGAGCAGACTAGGTAGCTATCTACTACATAGGCTCTCGGCTCCGCTCTTGAGTAAAAGAGATACATACCCAACCATTGTGCTTTGTACACGCAGACTCTTTGAGTCAATCCTCCTTTAGGCAAGGTGCACGGAAATCCCACTTATCATGGTAGCACCTGCAGTCAATTCACGGCAGAGGGTGTGTGGAAATCAAGGACATTTATGCGACTAGCTACCCTCGGAACAACTAGACATGCATAATAAGCTTATAGTATTGTTGGTGGTAAGAAGATAGTAAAGCTTAGCGCCCTGGGGTCAGACGTGGTGATGGAGCGTCTGATTGCGCTCACCAGCTATAAGAATGCGCTGTTGATATACACTCAGAAGAACCCCCAATCAGCCATTGTTCGCGTACAATCAGCTCCCATCGTGAGGCTGCTAATGATAAGCCTTTATAACTTTGAGGGTTGGACGAAGAATATCTCGTATTTTATACAAGAGAAGCTGAGTTGGTCATGAAGTTGGCTATGCTCTAGACGTAGTAGCAGCGTGTCGCGCGCAAGAATTCTCATGAGCAGTGCCACTTCCAAAGCGGCACTTTTAACATGGAAATCTTTGAAGTGACATATGTCGCGGATACTTGCACCGTTTGATCAGGCGCTTTAAGTTCTTTTGAAGTTATTTTGCACCTGCGAATCTGCACTGCGAATGTTGGCGAAGGGTGCCAGGAACGCCCTTAACGCCGTAATGGCGATGGAGCAATTCTGAAGGAAATAGCAAAATCACAACATATGTAGTCTCTGAAACGGTGCGACCCGCACCGAGACCTTTTGCTTCCACCCTACCGCAGTCAAGGAAGCGGTAGGCGTCGAACTAAACGCAAAGCAGCTTTTGTGCCGCAAAGAACGGATTAAGCACCGTAGGGAGAAGCTCTACGATCACAATAGAAGCGAGGGAACTCAGCTGTACTGGCAAAGAAGAGAGATCTCGTGGCTGCCTAGCAGCGTCGTAGTACTCGCAAATGTTATTCATGGGAGAGCTAATCATCTGGGCCCGGCCCTTTTTAATAGGCTTAAAGTGACATACTTAAAAAGAACAAGAATTGATGGTACCTCGTTGAGGTCGTGATAAGTGGTTACCAGCCATAACAAGAGAGACTCTCTCTTGAAAAAGGCACAAAACTCATAGTTGCTGCTAGTAGGAATGTTTTGGAGGTTTTGAGGCCATGACTCGACCCGATAGATATAGGAGCATATTTTTAATCTCGTTTGCGCAGCATCAAAAAGCAGATAGAACGAGAAGTCATTGGCGATATCAAAAACGCTTTTGGTATCTGTAAGTCTTGCGAGGAGGACTCATTAAAGTGGCAGAGAAATTGTTGAATCTTTACGTGACGTTTAGAAGCTTGATAGCGTGAAACGTTGTCGCGTCTTGGATCTGGATCGAGATATGATCTCATTCTCGGTATTGCGCGACTAGAATGCCACGAGTCATAGATTGACTTAGTGTTGTAAAAGGTAGGTGCCACCCATGAAGCTTTGACGACTCATGAACCCACCTCTACTGGAGTACTGAAGCGCTTCTGGTGAGGGCACAAAAATGCGATAGCATCTACGTAGAACACTGGACTGCTCGAATTTTCTAGCAGTGATTGCTATATGCCTAGAAGTCAAAAGCGGCAGATAGCCGTTTTCTCAAGATGAGACAGATAGAAGGACCATATATTGCGGTCTACAGAGTAAATGATTTGTCGTTTCTTCCAGTGAAGACTGGAGGAAACAACTGCCCCCGGAATGTTCTTTTTGTGGAGGTGTATATAAAAGCTATGAGCTGGTAGTTTTTGTGCTTGAACTGGTGAAGAGTCGAAGCTCCTGGGTTCTGAGCTCTTGTACAGGAGCCGGATAAGCTAAAAAGCGACTGCAAATCAAGCGGCCCGGCCTAAAATTATATATATCCATGTCACAGTGTAACGGCGCTGCTGATTGTACTATAACGTGACGTGTCCAGCAAAGCAGTGAAGCCCCACAAGTAAGTGGCAAAAAATATGTTACTCTCCCAGCGGAGTTCCATAGATAACCTAAGGGTTGTAAGTCTCCCTTTACTCCCTTTAGCAAAAGGTCTGACTGAAATTGAAGGTATCTTAGAATGCTTGCAATGAGTTGCGAGATGGTGCATTTACCAAGATGATATGGTTGGCATCGCTGAAAAACTGAAGTCACCATCTACCATGGGACACCTCATCATTGAGGACTCTCATATTTTTTTGGGAGTAGATGCCTTTCCTCGAGGACTTACAGATCAAAATACCCGTTATAGGATATCACACCGTGGCGGTAAGCACCCCCCACATGTGCTGTCCTTGATCGGGGAAGCGTCATAAGCCCTATAGCTGGCCCTTATCAAGAGGAAAGTATGACGTCGTAATTACTATACGTGCAAATCACGATACAAGTCGGTAGAAATTGTTTTACTTGATGCCGACCTTCTGTATCAGAAATGCCGGCGGCAGGCGCTCAATATATGGCTAAAAATCAACATGCAGTCACTATTATATTGATTTCTGAATAGAATGTGCTGAAAAAGGCATAATCGGTTGCACTTGCTTTCATGATCTTGATTTGGTTGATGGGCAATATTAACTGCTCATCTACAGAGCGAAATTCCACTTACCCAATAGTTGCTGCTCGATCAAATCATGGAAATGTACAAAAAAGTTTTGAAGATTTGTTCGGTAATGATCATACAGAGCTTGAGGAGTTGGAGTCAGCGACCCACATAAAAAGACTTGCAAGCAGAGCACGAGTGTTAGGGCTTGATCCAGCTGTTTGCTAAAAAAAGTCTTAGGCGCCAACGAAATTTTTTCACTGGGTCGCTTCATTGGAAAGCATGAAATGCAAACAGATCCAACAAAGATCAAGGTAACGTAGATTGGCAAACGCCTCTATCATAAACGAGCCGGCTGAAGCTGCTTGACCTTCTCAACAATCTACGTACGTACAGCCCAAAAGTAATCGACATGATAAGGCTCCTTTACGTTTAAGTCGAAAGTCCTGAGGTGTGGCAAACGGGGAGGCATTTGAGGCAGCAACAGAGAGCTCACTTTTTCTTTTTTCAAGTCAAGTTTGTGTATTCCATGACGTACATGACATTTCATAGGCTGCATTAGTCTGGCCTTTTTGTAATTAAATGGCATTGGACACGGATGCGCCATCTCGTTTGAGTCTTGCGAGCTTAAAGCGGCACAGAAGAACTAGTGTTCGCCACTTGCAATGAAGCATACCCTTATAATCTGTACAGATCAAGCATCGTTGTGTGTAACGAGGTCGTCACCGTTTATCCCGCAGATAATGACAATGTTGCTATCCTTCTTTGCCAAAAATATCTGTGAGGTCAAGCATGAGTCGGGACAATTCTAACGTGATGACAGAAGCTCTTTTGTGTCACCTCAATTATGAATTGTCACGTATCATTATGGCGACGTCGCCATCCGATCAGGAGTACATGAAGTGTACGTATCAAACACGTCATGAACTACGTTACTGAAAAGCGTTACAAAAATTGCAAAGAGTTTGCGAGCTCCGATCCGCTTAATCAAAGCGTGCGATTGCACGTCTACACCGCTATTCTCTATCCAAAGTCTTTTTTTTCGACAGCACAGACCAAGTGGGTGGTGGTATCTCATGCTGAGGAGAATATCGTACGATGAACATGATGTCTTTATGAGTAGTCTCAGCATGTGGTCTCGAAGAACGCATTCAGCAACATGAGTTAACTGTGGTCATTGTTACAGACACACCTGTAGAATAATTTATATATTTTTTATAATTAAAACGACTTTTTTCTGCTGACCATCCACATAAAGATGATCACACTGAACGCGTTAGTTTTATGGTGAAGGGTATCCTTCAAACTCCTATACACAGAGACAACAGTCTCGGCGCGAAAAATACATTGCACCTTGGTTTCCTGTTTTAGGATTGGTGGAGATGCACGTGGAAAAACCAACACCTGAAGTTATGAAGGATAGTTCATGTTACGATGTAACAGTGCTGCTGAGTCGGCACTAACGTCTGATGTGCCCACCGTGCGAAGTAGACCAAGGCACTCAATTCCAAACACACTGTCTATCCTTGTTGAAAGTATACACCGACGTGACGGTGAGAGCCTCAGCACTTGTGTTTATTTGGGTTCGAGAAGTGCGTCATGAACTGCGTCACACGTCAATTGCCCTAAACAAGAGAACAGTGTTACTTCATAGACGACTTCGTGAGTGCGCGAGCGCGGAATGAAGTGAGTATGATGAATGAGTATATCTACTTACCAGCGCTGACTCTCTGTATCAGAACAACGGAGGGCATAAGCATTAACGCTGCCCCTGTTTTAACGCAAATTCACTTTTAGAAATGACGTGCTTCGAAACAGCATGGTTGATTGCAGTTTTGAGCGCTATTTGCTGCTGGACCAACATGTATTAGTGAATTCAGCACATGCGCGCGCACTTACAACACTATATGATACGACCCCTTCGGCCAGAATGCTGTAGCTGGAAAAGTATTGGCAGTCTTAGAAAATTCTGTTTGTCGAACTTCCAGATGACGCGTCCGATTATATTGGTATTGCGGTCTTTGCGCACCGTCTGAGCATGTTGGCCCATCTTGCTACTATCAGCGTCAGCGATAATAGTAGGTATATCCCAAAGCTGTTTACCGACATACTTTTTTGCCATCATATCTTGTTGATGACCATTGTGTCAGATCGAGATCCGAGCTTTGCAGCAAACAGTAAATTTTTGTCAAGGCTGCTAGGCACCAGTTAGAACGTGCCCACAACCAGCCATCTGCTCAAAAGCTGGTGAAACGGGCTATAGCATACTCAAGGTTGCCAGCTGAAGCACTTTGGCGAAGAGACCATAACGATCAAAAGAAATGCTTCTACTTTCTGATTGTGCGTTAAGTTGCATACATCTCCGGACCTAACTCGATTATTTTTTAGTGTTTAGTTATCCCCGAGTTTATAGGTCATCTTTACACTGGAACTTTAGTCTTGATGCCGATCAGTCTGTCTTATAACTATCACTCGCTGGTATCAGTCATCTCTACTTTGTGAAAGCATCCCATATTCTACCTCAGTGAGTTGGCGTCATGCGTTAGGTGATCGACGCTATAAATGAGAGCCAGAACGGCGGGCAGCCCTAACACAAATGGTATGACGATAGGGTAGGTGGTTTTGAGCGCAGGCGAGTTACCGTCAAATTTAGTGTCCGCAGTCCTTGAAACAAAGTTGCGTCCACTCTACATCGGACCGCTTAGGCCGTGGCAGAAAAAAGAAGTGACTCACGCACGTACAACGGTAGAGAACACAATGAATCTTTTCGACCTGGTTAAGTGAAACTTTATCAAAATATCACTTACACTTGTCAGTAAATTGTAAAGCTCTTAATTGGATCCAGAGCAGTGTCACTACTGCCCCCAATCGCTCAGCTCCCCTTTGCCTGCTCTAGGGCAGCAACACCGTCATAAGCCACTACAGCTCTCTAGTAACGCAGAGCGATACCATAACCCAGAGAGCGACACCAAAATCTGACCCATCTGCCGACCGGACGCCGAGACTAGGAGAAATAATGTACTGAAGCTCAGCCAGTCCCTGTAAAAGGATTATACGTCTCCTTCTACTCGATCAGCAAGAAGTTGTCCACATTCATGTGAGACTGGTAGCATGTCGCTAGATTCCTCAGAGTTAAAAGCATAACTTAGACTGCGGATGGGGTCTGTTTACTTCAAAAACAGCATGAGAGTTTGAGATCTCACTTCGGCAAAAATGTCAAAGTCGCTGCTCGCGGTTTGCTAGACCACTACGTTTATTTCTATGAAGAAGACTCATAGTCACATGGCATAGTGTGGTCCTCACGAGGGCGTAGAAACATCATTTTCGGCTTAGAGACTTGAAAAACTTCCATACAAAATTGCCAGGCCGTCGACAGCAAGAACTGGAAGTGATGGATCGCTGTTTTATAATTCTTATCAAAGAGACTCCATCCGTCACTATATGAGGAGCCTCACTTATTTGTAAGGCTTTTACTAGTGCGCTCGATGGACTTGTGTAGCGCAACTGTATCACCTCTTTTTATAAACAGGAAACCGCGACGAAGAGTCGCATGTGCTGGTGTCCACCAACTCTAGTACAGGATACATCTGCATTTCAGCTCTCACCAAACGTTTACCCTGGGCTCATCTGGATTTAGTCCATTTTCTTTCTCAGCAGAAATTCGCTGTATCATCTGGAGACTACGGATTACTTCCGTTTTTTTGCCTTTAAGCACTTCTCAAGGTGTCCGGCAACATCATTGCGCATCATTCGGGGAATCTTTTCACAGCAACGACCGTAAGAGGGCGCTGTTTACAAACAGTCCCTCTAACACAACACACACGGAAGCAAGTTTCGAAGTCTGAGAAGGACTTAACACCTTGAAGGTAAAGTTGCAGCTAGATTAAAATGCGTTATGGTTCCTAGCTACATGCAAAACACTCTAAGGGCTCTTAAAGATTATACTGATAACACCTTGGGCTCCTCATTTATAAAGTATGGATGTACTGAGGTCAATCCTCAAATTCAACTGATACATGTTCTTGGGTGTACGGAGCTTGAACTTTGAAAACTTGAGCTTTCACATTCGTGGAAAGAATCCGGAAGAAGGGACTGGCTTACGCCACCCACTTTAAAAAACTGGGAGACATCGGTGTCGCCACCAATACAGATTCACAAGTAGGAACCAGCATTCTGTATCACAAATTTTGTGACTTTATGTAACAAATCACGTATGCATTTGGAAACACTATACTGTATATGCGTACCTTCATGCAATGGTTAAGTATAGCCCATTACAACGACGGTTTTGCAGCTTCATGCCCGCATCAAAAGAGCATCTTCTTCCGAGTAATTGTATCTTCGTGATTTACGTAAGCTTTACTGGGATTGAGGTGCGGCTACATAAGCTCTCAGCATCGTATCATTTAATGACTCACACTGCTAATGAGCCGCGCCTGGGCGATATAATCTGTATCTTAGGTACAGGTCAAGCACAATACAAATTTCTTGCGGCTGAAGCTCCCAAATTTCATGAAAAGAATTAAATTGATCTGGATAATTCAGCATTAGTTACAATTACAAAAGGCATGAACTGTCATTTCCGTATTCCGCATCATTGATATTACATTTGAGTTTTTTGTGATTTCGAAAGTAGGCGCTGTACGAAACTGCACAACAGTTGGGACATGACGTGGCTTTTCATATAATGTCTGGTTTGTTGCTGTAAAAAACTAACAACCCTAGGCTACGAGCACCACATCTTTATGGGGAACAAAATGACATCTATTTGGGCTTAAAATCAGCAACCTCGACCTATACAATGTACAATAAACTCAACACAATCCCTATAGACCATCTTCCATCTGCTGGGTCTTGGCATACCCCTGTGAATTTTTTTCTTCAAACCTGCGTGAAATGTCACCTTTTATATTGCTTAACCGAATGAAAATGGGAAGGCAACGTTTAGATATTTGACATACTCACAGATAAAAGCAGCAAGTATACGACCCGTCCCGGCTACTTGTGAATAGCTGAAGTCCATCGTTTTGGGTGTTCACGTATAAATTGCATCACCTGCTCTGAAACCTGCCCTCGCAAAACATGAGCCTTGCAAAGTGCTTCTATCTGTTCAAGCGCTTCTAGATAAGTCTAGTTAACTTTACTATTCTTGCACGCATTCACCTTTGATCTTCTCACCAAAATAACAATACAGTCTTCGTCGTACCTAGGTAGACACAGTGGTCATGTTCCCCGTCTGAACCCTAGTATGAGCTTATTGACTCAATAAAGTGTGACTGCTTTCATCAAGATTACCTATCAGTTTGCAAAGATAAGCGGTTTTGACAAATCAAATCAATTGTACCATGTAGATGTATTGTCTATTGGAAAACGAATCATTCGATTCCATCAGATAAACGATCAGGCTGTATACAGAAATTAAGCAAGGTAGGGTTTGAATCGCTGTAAATTTGGCAATTTACACAAACTTCTTACCGCGGTTATAACAGACATTTATAAAACTTGGTTGTGGCAGAAGTAATGTAATCCGTTTCACTTCCTTGCTTCACCCTGAATTAATTTGAAAATCTACGAATTGCCAATTGCCTCCTTGTTACTTTTTGAGAGTGATCTAGCGTCAAAGGTTTGATCTATCTTAAGCGACTTCATTTCTACGATACACGCTGGATTCCGCTTGTATGTGTTGCAATATTTTGTAGCCGACTTAACGCGTCGAGGGAATAGTCTAGTTCTCAATTTGCAACTTCCTTCTACTGCATAGCGACTTTTATTCACATCACGCCACTCTATTCCGACAGTGCATAACAACACATGTCACTACATCATATCGATCGGCCGTTTCCTCCCGCTTACCGCCGGGTATACTATTGCCATTACTGTCGCTTTAAAGTGAATGCGTCAAGCTGTGTGCGACACATTTCAACACATCTTCCAATCACGTGATGATGAGTTTTGGCTATTGATATCGTGGAAATAGACTAATTTTCATTTTGCAAGCTCCGTGCATTGCATGGCTGCTTGTATATGACATCATGCACTCTTACCCGACAGTGCGCTACTATCTGACAGTGCATTTGCACACATGACATTGCTTCATTGCTTAGGGCTTACCTCCAGGTATCACGGTATAATTGACAGTGGCTTCGCCTTAAATGATGCTTCATGCTATCTGAATCACCTCGGAACACGAATTTTAGTTCAGACACGTAGCTAATTTGCATTCGCAGCTATTGGCAACGTGGGAACAGTCTGTTTCTCGTTTTGCAACTTCCGTGTTGCATGTATTCATATCACGCCGCTCTTAATCGACAGTGCATACGCGACATATGTCACGACTTCATATCGATCAGCCGTTGTCTCGCAGTTATCTTCAAGTATCATGGCTTGCTGCTTTAGCTATCACATTAAAAATATTTTGTGTGGACGTCTGCAACATATTGAAACACATAATTTAGTCAAAGACGTGGTTGATGTGCTATCACACCTACTAATAACGTGTTAATGGTCTATTTCTCGTGTTGCAGCTTTCATGCATTGCATGAATGCTTGTACATAATGCCACAAGTGCATACACAACACATGTCACGGTTTCATATCGATCAGCCGTTGCCACACGCTTGCGTCCAGGTATGATGGTACTAATGCCATTGCTGTCGCCTCGTATTGCAGCTTTCATGCATTGCATGAATGCTTGTACATAATGCCACAAGTGCATACATAACACATGTCACGGTTTCATATCGATCAGCCGTTGCCACACGCTTGCGTCCAGGTATAATGGTACGAATGTCATTGCTGTCGCCTGAAATGATGTGATTAGCTGTGTGCGCCATATTGTAACACATATTCTTAGTCAAGGACGTGGTTGATGTGCATTCACAGCCATTGACAGCGTGTAATAGTCGGGCTCCCCTGTAGATGATACTGCTGCCATTACCGTCGCTTTAACTGGGGTGTATAGTTGTCTGCGATACGTCTTCAAGTTCAAACACATGGTTAATGTGCTCTCATATCTTTTAGAAACGTGGTAATAGTCTGTTTCTCTTTTTGCAGCTTCAGCGCATTGTAAGTGGATGTATTCACATTACACCGCTATAATCCAACAGTGCATATGCAAGGCAAGGTACGGCTTTATATCGATCAGCCGTTGCGTCGCGTTGCCATTGCTGTCGTCTTAAAATGAAATGTATAGCATCCTCCGACGCTTCATCTAATTCAAAGACGTAATTGATGTGCTTTTTTAGCGCATCGCTCTATATGGTGATCTATCGCATTGATAAGCTGCCTCAGCAGTATCGCCACATCACGAATAGGACGAGATGTCCATAGAAATACAGATTCCGACTGTACACTCAGGGCTGACGATCGCTCTTCAACTGTGCCAGTTTTGGCGTGTAGACTGCGACACACAGTCGCTTGCAATCTCCACCGGCACTGACACAGAAAAAGGCTGCTTATAGCTGTTATTCATCGTCCTACTAGAGTAAAACTGTTGGAACCACGACACACATTTGTGCTTGATCATGTCACCCTGAGACCGCGGCTCACCGCCGCTTCTGACCTATCACCGCTACCAATATTTTTGTTTTGTTTGGGCGCCATTGTGGCTGTCTAATCGCGCCAATTACGCTTGTGCTTACTTGCAGAAAAGAGGAAAACGTCAACGCTTCATCAGTCGATACGAGCGTGGTAACTTACCTATTCGACTTTTAGTTGACTCTTGGCTCGTGACGTTCCCACCACTCTATATGTTGGCTGAGATTGTGTCTCAAATCAAAGTTGGACCAGGCGACGCTCCACGCTGTTAGAGTTTTATAAGGCAGTGGCAAGAAAAGTTGTTTACTCGTGAATGGAGTTACCAAAGTAGACGTAGAGATTGTAAGACCTCTCTCTCTTTCTCCAGCTAAAGCATCTATAGAGCTAAAAGAGTTACCTCTCAAGGATATGTGCGAGAAATTGCGGGACGTTGACCTTCCCGAAAAAGTACGGTTGATAGCAGAGGCGGAGCCAAGTTCGTTATCCGTATTGACTGAATCTGCCATTGACGACGCCCGTAGAGCACTGGTTTGATGGGTGGGAAAATAACATTCAAGCAACCTGCGAATCCGTGCTACGCTTTATGTAAAGTATACACCGGCGTGTGGACACGTCACTGAAGCTTAGCAAGGAAACAGTGTAACATCATAGGCAAGTTCCTCCTTTTGAAGCACAAAGCAAATTCGATCAGAAAATAAATTCGTCACTCGGCGCCGACTTTCTGTGTCAGAACGGTATACGGCAAGTAGCAAATTGTGTATGCTTATAATAAGTTAAATGCATAAAAATTCCTACAAAGTCAACCCCGTCAATGACTGGCCGCATTGTGTTCGGTGCACATTACTTCGTTGATGGATATAATAGAGTGCTGATGAGTGATAACGACATCCCTCTCTTTATGGTGAGTACTCCGAGCGTGATGCCACGAGAGTAGCAGGCTGTTTCACGGGGACTGTTCTAACGTGCAAAAGACGCTCAATTAGCTGGAGGGACGCTAGACGGAGCGGTTTGGACAATGTACAAGCCTATTCCGGCTACACAACTCTCATAGTTTTGTACAGAGCACGCAAAGTCGAATATGGAGAATACATCAGCACTTGCGAGCAACGCTCGAATGTATCTCAGAACGTTTTTCGCCAAAACATACAAGCGTGTCATGGCTGCGACAAATTTTCAAATTTGGGCTGCTTCATCAAAGAGTAGGGCCTGTGGGTAGATCTTGCAGAGATAAAGCCCACTGTCTATTAACCAATGTCTTTGTCCCAACACCAATTGAGGAAGTCGCTTTGCCAAGGTAACCATTTCTACAAGTACTTATAAAATATGCCGACATGACACAACTTCGCACCCATCTCCCGAAAAAATGTTACCAAAGGATGCCGGGGTGCGGCAGAGAATATGGCTATTTGAGCTACAAGACTGTCCTGTTTGATTCTGGCTCTTCCAAATTCAGATCGGCCATACAATGTCGTTTGTGACGCTTCGGCAGATGCTTATGAGCATGGTGCGAGGTCGAAGTCGCGTCTCGTCATCGTAAAGCAACAGAGAAGCATTTCCTGTTTATGAGAAGGATTTAATTGCAAAAATTATTTCTTAGTCAAGTTCAACGTGCATCTGCTTGGCTCTGATCCGTTTGTGATCGATATAGAGATCATGCGTCGTGAGCACAGCGATATCGTATCACGTCTCTTGCAGAGAATAACGAGATAATTATTTTTGTCGAAATACAATTTGAAGTCATTGTTAAGCATGGTGACTTCGTGAGGCGGCAAATCTGCTTTCGCTTCGCCCTCATTATGAATCACATGATGCCACGATGGTGACGTTAACATTTGAGAGACAATTTGTGCAGCATTCGAATAGATGCAACATGCTTTACGTTGCTTAAAGATTTTGAGTTCGAGGAGGTTGAGAACTGAGATGTCGTTAATGAAAACGTGCGGTTGCATGTTTGCACTGCTGTGGTTAATTCCACTACTTTCTATATGAGAACGTATGTGACACTCAGCGTGTAGTAACGCTTCAGAACAATGGCGTCAAGTACAGAATACTTTTCGAGGTGCATGATACCCATTTGAGTGGTCGTCTTGATGAAGAAAACGTAACGAGTTATGTGTGCATTGGCATTCCAACATGTTAAAGTGTATAAATTATGTGCGCGCCTATTGAAACGCGCTATTATTGGTGTGTGCAGCACTTTTAGCCGGCCTGCCAGTTCAGGAAGAGCACTCGAAGTCCATTCGCATGACGTTTTGTCTCTGACTTTCAGATGAATCGTTTGGTAAAGCAGGCATTGTGACATTTAGACCTTTATAGCAAGATGGTTTATCTTGCTGCTATTGTCAGTACTGCGACCGGTTGTTACAGACAAGTCTCAATCAAGGGTTCGGTCCACAGGGCTTGTGGGTGGCATTGTATCAGATCGAGAACTGCGCTTTACATTGAAGATTTGGCGAGCTTTGTTGAAGGTGCCCAGCATCAGACAAGAAATGTCTACTGCTTACCATTCCAAAACTGATGGTCAGGTGGAACGCATAAGTCGCATTGTCAAGGATTCTGGAGCACTTGCGTGGAGAGACCACGGTGGTACGAGTTGCTCCCGCCCATCGTGTTGCCATTCAATGATGCGGTACATGATTAAGAATAATTTACTTCATTTTATGTCAATGGTTTGGTGAATTCCAGGGTGCATTTGGTATCGCAACGAAATGGATTTGGTCTAAGTGGAAAAGTGTCTGTCGCTCATAATCGATTGCTTAGAACAGCCCATTTAAAGTTCATCGGAAAAAATCAATTTTACCTTGATGTCACAGGGCATTGCAAAGGAGTGACACGTCGATTCCAGAGACAGGCAAAACATGATGTGCAAGAGGTTTATTGAAACAGATAAGCTACATATGCATGCAAGTCTAGTTGCAAACGTGCTGAATTGGATGGCGAGGCGAAAACAAATTGAATGATTCTCTTGGCAACCCCAAGAGAATGTGAATTTAATCCCTCTCGTAGACTATATTTCTTAAGTCATGATTCGACTCTGTCAGTCGATGAAAAGAACTCGGTTGTAGTTGGAGCAAGTCTCCACGGACGCCTGCAGCTGATATACCCTCTGTTCCAAAAAAATTAAATCAAATGAAGAGTCCCGATGACGAAGGCCGAAGAGCGAATCCGAGATTTAGGTCATCTCAGTTTCGGACGTACGCCGCGGATTTCGGGGGGCTTCTTTCTCTACTGCCCTATGAACAAGGGGTACATGGGTCGTCTGGTGACACCAGAGATGAAAGCAGTACCTGGTGGAGTAGAACGAATTTCCTCGCTCAGGTAATTCATGGAAGTTAAGCTCTCATATCGGCATGACGACGCTGGCGTCGCGACTCGTTACGATCTAGCAACTTTATCTTTTAAATATGAGAAGAATATCTCCGGAGAAGTGCGCTTCCCATATCCATTGCCTACGTGCATCAGCCACATACATCTGACAAAAATGAAGGCGACAATCAAAACAGAGCAAAGGCGTACAAGACCTTAAGAAAACGGAAGATCAATCGCAATACTGAAACAGCGCGGATGTGCGCGGTTGCGTTAAATTGCATGCGCTGTTCATGATGCAGCTCGACAAGTGTGATCCTTATTATAGCTGTCTCATGAAGACGAGTAGGTCTGTGAACAGCAAGAAAGGACACCCCAACGATTGCGTCGTGCTCTGTACTTCACAGTCAAGCGTTAGGTGAGGTCTAACTATCGCCGAAGGTGGCTTGTAAAGGTTTTAGACGGGTGGGACGGCGTAGTTATCTCATCGAGTACGCGAACTGACTTTGACACTCATCGCAACTTTTGCCAGCTCCAATACCCAACGGTTTTGGGTTTATTGATGGTGACGCTCTAAGCGCAAGCGGTGCTCCTGTAAATTGACAAAATGTGAGCTGAGCAAGCATTCGCGTTAAAATCTTTTCGCGCTCATTTTGCTTTTGCGTAACTGAAAGACAATGTAACGGGGTTACACGTACCCTTGTATGACAGGGTAAGTCACACAAGATGGCGTGACCGTACATAGAAGTGGATTACACAATTTGGTGCAATTATACAACGTTGTGCTACACTGAAACAAGAAGCCACTACAAAATGCATATAAATAAGGTTTTACTATATCAATTAGGTAATACTACATTAATGGGAAAAACCTAAGGTTAAAGATATTGGCGGCTCTGCCGCAACTAAAAAAGTTAAATCCAGCTTCAAAGTTGAACAAGAGAGCGTCTTTACCTTAGTTAAGGTTTTAAAGTACTCTAGTGCGATCCGATACACTCGTACTGGTTCTTGTAAAGAACATAACGCCTGTGACCTTAGCTTAGCTTCCTTTAAACAAAGAGCTACGACGGCCCCGCTGCACTTGGTAGCACTCGTAGTCAATCTACGCCCAAGTCGTTACGACTGATCCTCTGTGAGGATGGAGCAATTCTC